ACAGACAGACGACGACAGACAGACAGACAGACAGACAGACAGACATACAGACAGACAGACAGACAGACAGACAGACAGGCCATACACACAGACCGACGACAAGACAGACAGACAGACGACAGACAGACAGACAGACAGACAGACAGACAGACAGCACAGACAAAAAGACAGAAGTACAGACAACGGACAGACAGACATAGATACCGACATACAGACAACAGACAGACAGACAGACCCAGACGCAGACAGACAGACAGACAGACAGGCAACAGACAGACAGACAGACAGACAGACAGACAGACAGACCGACAGACAGACAGACAGACATACATACATAAAGCGCCGCTGGAACTACATCGGCCATGAACTCAGAATGGACTCTCTGACCAAGCCCTCATATGGACAGATGAAGCGAAATGAAAGCTGGGAAGAGAGACCCAGCCTAGAACACCCGACAGGATAGGCTCAACAAAGAGCCTCATGAATATCTGAGACCTAAAACAGGTGGCAACGAGCCGCCAGACAGGGAGAAATATAATCTCTGCACTATGCGCCGCCCTAGGCTCAAGAGGAAAGACTAACTAACTTACTTAAAGGCCTTATTAAAAGAAAATTTCTATTTGTGGGGGAAAAAAAGGTATTAGTTGAGGCCCCTGATGTCAGTGTGTCACTAAACTGTATCTCAGTTAGCTTATGCTCAAATCCAGCACTGAAAGACGCTAATTACCCTGGAACAGCCTTTTTCCTAACGTTTTTTGGCTGTAAACTCTGGCTGTAACTTTTGGTTGTTTGTCCACATCTGGACCTTAGTCTTGTTCCAGAATCCGAGTGTTGCGTGTAAATCTGTTAAACAGATCAGGTTCAGTTGTATGCAGACTGTTGGTTCCTTGCCTCTCAGGCAGCTGCACTCCGACTTCGAAGGATGCCACCAATTAATCGACACCTACGCCAAGCTTGTTGGGGAGGCAGTGGCTTTCGATTTGTTTTCCCCACATTGGGACCTCGGAACCCACACGTATCTTCTAATTGGTTTCTTGTCACTCTGCGCAAAGCATACATGTCTCTACCTTACTCAGCATGTTGTGTGAGTCTGTTACAGTCACGACGCGTGCATGTAGCTGACTCCTTTATAGGTGACTCTTAGCCAGGTGCATATCCTTTGTTGTTGTTCATTCATAAAAAGTGATGAGGACCAGTCTTTCTTTCATAGGCCATGAACCTATAGTTGATTTTTATGAGTCGGAGGAGACTCAAAAGCATAATACGGACCCAGAAGGAACTAGGATAATGAGGGCAAGGGGCAGAGTCTGTAGATAAAGAACCTATTATGCGCGTCTTTCTAGCCTGACTGCGCTCTTGAGCAGCTCTTTTTATAGAAGCCTCGCAGTTCTGTGCACCTCTTCGGATAGACGTTCGCCATATAGTTCGGTCTTGTGCAGCAGCCTCCTAAGTGTCAGTGGTTTATATTGGAGGTTTCAATTTATGTGATGCCTTTAGCTTATTCTGGCCACAATGAGAGCCTCTTCGTTCCTGTATCTTACTATGCAAGATTATTTATGGGAGCGAGGCCTGGCAAGCGGATGACGTGACCTGCTCATTGAAACTGTAACTGCATTAGGATGGTATCGATGCTGGCAATGCCAGTTCTGTCCAGTACAACGGTATCCTTTACAGTTATGCGGTCCACGCAGTGACGGGTCGTGCTTGCAAGGGCTGTAACTGCAGCTTACACTTTCCATTGCAAAAGAAAAATGATGCATTATTTTACTATCTATTGTTACTGTTTATGACAAATACGTCACTATGTTTGCGTCTCAAACATAGCGAAAAAAAAAAACGCTCGCTTCTTGCCTATACCATTCGTGCGGAAATTGTAATGGATGAAAGGTATCAGTTATCAGTATTACGATTCCATCTGCGCAGACATACTCTCAGCAGCACAGCGATGAGGGGGAAAAAACCATATGACGTCCTCTTAAATTGTATCGTTACACAAGCGAATTTATCACACCTCGCCACTGGGTCCAGAGCAGGTGCCGGTCGGTTGAACTTTCCAAGGAGTCAGTCAAAACTACCCCTGTCACGAATCGGCATTAGTCTAAAATAGTGTCTAATATTTCATTTAACAAAAACAATGCTATCAGTATGTGCATTTGGTAATGTCCTAGCCGTTAGCTTATCCACGATATATGTCTACAATTTTCCCAGTCCTTGCGACACTAAGTGTTTGAAGGTCTGCCTAAATATTATCTCTCCGTCGTCTTCTTGGCCTGGCTCTTGGTCTATGGCCATCCAACCTTCTTGTAAACACAGTTTTTGCCTCTCTGACATCTGCCCTAGCCGCGTCCGTGGCTTAGGCGTTGTGAGCCGGACTCGTAATTTCGACGTACCGCAATTGAAACCCACTGCGTTAATTTTTATCATGCTATGGGGCGTCGCAGGTCGACCCAGTTAAAAATGAGTACCAGGATGTATGTCCTGGGAAAGTAAAGACGACCGGCGTAATGCTAACCACACTACCCACCTAGTGCCTATTGGTCTGTAAAGAAAATAGGTGCTCTTCCCATATGCCCGATGCGCCTAAGGCGTGAAAATGGATCATCTGCCCTAGTCGTTGGCCATTTAAATTCAAGAACTATGTGTGAGTGTGTGTGTCAGTGTGTGAGTGTATGTCTGTGTGTGTTTGTGTGTGTGTGAATGTCCACTCTCTTCTACCAGTGTCAAACACGGTCTATTATTATAACGAATGAGCGGAGGGGGGATGTATTGGAAGGGTTGGGGGGGGGGAATGCCTTAGAGGATCTGTTGGGCAACAACAAAGATTCAATTCTGAATGAAGAAACTAGAAGAAGACTAAGACTCAAACCATTCATACAATTCATAAAAGACCAATATGAGATGGCTCTGGCCCTCTCGCGAAAATAACTGGTGCTAGCTGAAACAGAGAGCCACACCGAAGAAATACGAGGACGCAGAGCAATGAAGAGACCGCGCAAGAGATGGAACAACGTTATCACGAATAGCCTTGAAACACCAAAAAAATCAACTTATAGGCATATTAGAGGGATCATGAGAAAGGTCCTTACAATATCCCCCCCCCCCCAAACCCCGCCCCCACACACAACACTTCGTTGTAGTAATTGAGGGGGGAGGGAGTAGTTGTAGAAGAGATGAAAAGTTGTGAAAACGTTGAGAGAGAGAGAGAGAGAGAGAGAGAGAGAGAGAGAGAGAGAGAGAGAGAGAGAGAGAGAGAGAGAGAGAGAGAGAGAGATTCCCATAGTAAACACAGGAAAACACTAATGTAACTCAAGAGTTAAATCTGTTTTTCACAAAACTCAAAACCAACAGACTGTTCACTTCCCAGCTATCAACGAAAAAGCCCACCTGCAGTGTTTGTCTAATTTTCTAATTTTGCTTTTGCGTTCTTTCCTGAGGATGGAAATTTCTAGTCGCAAAACCCTCACCAACCACTGGTGTCATGTGCGTTTGTTGACCGAAAGTAATGGATAGAATGTATCTTTTTTTTTTTTTTTACACTACGCTCAGAAACCGTGACAAATAATAGGATTTACCTTATCGATTACTGCGCAGCAAGGAGAGCTAAAAGTTGGATATAAATAGCCACTGTTCGCGCAGGTAACTACAGCTACAAAACAAAGAGCCCAAAGATTCAGCAGCAAACGTGTACTCTGTCAGCTGTTTGGAGAAAACAACTAACTCACAGCAACAACCATGATGGGTATTCCAGTGGTCGTAATAGCATTTGCATTTCTGGCCGGATGTCAAGCTCTCCCACTTAATGAAAGTAAGTAGCCTTTACTTACTGTTTAATAACTACTTTTGGTATACTTGGAAGGGCCGAATGTAAGACGGGCCTGGGTGTCCAATCTGTGACCCCTTTGAAAATAAAAATTCGTTCTTTCGTTCGTTGACCGGCTCATAGAGCATATGGTGCTAGATGCATATTTCATCGATCATTCGATCAGTAAACATCCTCTGTCCGCCTTTACTTCCCAGAAGGTGTTTTGGCGCTCACTTTAGACCGTATTTCCACAGAAACTAAAATCATGGATACAGACTTGAGTTCAAAACTTTCGGGACAATAGGCAAGCGTCTAACCACGGCTTCCCTCAGCTATATACTAGAACATTTAATGCTGTGATCCCAACAGTTCACATTAGCAACTCTATTCCTGTGTGCTAACACATGAGTGTTACATTAAAATTGTAAGATGCGCAGATAGCGGGAAAACGGCGCTTTACTTTACTTTCTTAACACTTGATGTGATTTCAATTTGATTATAATATTCTAGGAAAATGATTTGATAGAAAACTTTGAACGTTAAAGATAAACATAAAGTAAGTGGTTGGGTGGTTTAAAAAAAAATATTTAACCCCCCCCCCCCTCCCCCACCCGTTCGCTTCCCCCCCCCCCCCCCCCCCCCCCCACCCCCAGTGATTACCGCCTGACAGACTGATAGTCAATAATTTCAAGAGCTACTTTTGGAATGAATATTGAATGTTGATTTATAATTCGACATCACAGCACTCGGGAAACTCCCATAAGCGCATCTTCAGCAGCAAACGAAGAGTTCTAGTACCGATGGTACTAATAACTGATTGTATTTCCGTCTCGCCTTTCCCTTGAGTGTTGGACGTCGGCCGGATCTCCTGATAACTAACTCCTCGCAGCACCATTCTCCTCAGACCGTAATGCTCTGCTTGTGCCTCTGCGCTGTTTTCGGATGAAACGTGAGAAAATACTAATCTTTCAATCGCATACGCTACTTTATTCAGGGCAGCCAACGTTTTCATGGCAACCCAACAGTATCATGAGGAAGAAAAATTAGGGGGGGGGGGGGAACGAATAACCCACTATGCCACAACAGGAAAAGAGTGTAGAATACCGTATACTATGGCTCCCCCCCCCCCCGCCCCCCGCTCCTCCCTCTTTCCAAGTGTCGGTACTGGTGACAGGAAATTTGCCGCACCCGGTACCAGCTGAGCATGCTACGCCACTGGCCAAAAAGTGTCTACAAAGAGGCCAGTACTCCCAGCAAAGTGTCTAAAAGGGGGCAGTGCTACCCAGCAAAGTGTCTATTACAAAAGAACCGACCCAGTGAGGCCTACAAGAGGTGGTGGCACTGCGTATATATATATATATATATATATATATATATATATATATATATATATATATATATATATATATATATAGTCATTACAATTTGCCCAAATTATACATCTTGGCCAATAACTTAGAACAACGAAACAAGACCAATAATGTAACCAATGTTGCTTGCTGCAAGTTGATCGTGGTAGAACAGACACATACACACCCCTCCACAAATCGGCCCACCCTCAGAACTCCCCCCCCCACCTTACCCCCCCCCCCCCCCCCGCCCCCAAACCACCCTCACGCCGGAAAATCGGAATAAGACAACCGGAATTCGAATGCACGAACTCATTCCCAGCGGACACATTTCTACGCCCAAATTTAGCCAGTTGTCACATGTACATTTATTATCAGCGACCAAGGCATTTTATATAGCGCACATAACCTAGTCACAGTTATGACCCAAAGCTTGCCCTCCGTGGATGCCGGTTGAAAATGACGAATTTTCCACCGGAAAAGGAATGGAAGCCTGTATGTATCACTTTTTTTTTTAGGGCGGTGTTCGTTAGCAGCCGTTTTGAGCATTATATGATCGGACTGCATGACTAGTGCAGTTGCCAAGAACTGTGCAGGTTAGGGGGAAAAAATCGCATCAACTTACCGAGGATTCGAACCGGGTCTCCTGCATGAGAGCCCATCGTTCTAGTCCCTCAGCCAGCTCCTTTATTTTAGTCAGTATTTATTATATTTAATTCCACTTTTCTTTGCTTTTCGTCCCCTCAGGTTACGACTGTCTGACCGACGATGCTTGTGAAAAAATCAACACCACTACGCGCTATAACATAAACAACAAACTGTACTGCTGTCAGCGCGGAGACGGTATTAGGTTCACCAGTAGCCAATTCACATTTTATAGTTCCGGTGGCCAGACTTCAAATGTGACTTCAGACCAGTCTGTTGACACGACAGACGTCAACAAGCAAGAAGGACCAGCGGGTGGGAAGATACAGAGAAAAAGCAGCTCCAACACTACGTGCAAGTGTGGAGCGGTAGACCAAAAGAAACTAGATGAGGAGATGTCAAAATACTATCAGGAAATGTCGGAACACATGCGTCAATTGTTTGGTTGGTTTTGGCCCTTCTGAGTGTTCAGATATTGATTTGACTTTGTACAGCAAATGATTGTTTCATTATTGTTTCATTCTTAAAGGACTTAGAGGTCTGGTTTAGGATTATGTATCTGAGTTTTAATTTACTCTTTAACAATAATGGTAAGCATTGTTATAGTTTTGAAATGTATGCCTTCAAGAGTCGATGTGATTTGCATATTTAAAATTTACGATCAAGACAAAACGAAACAAAATCTTCAAAGATATTACAAACTGTACACAAATGTTGGCGCCAAATATTTGCTATTTAGCCTTTAAGGGTTACAGAATAGGAAAGTTAAAAAAAAAAAAAAGGAATTTTACAATTTATGATACAGTTTATGATGTATGCAACCGCGGTAAATAATTGTCAAAACTGTCACATGGCAACAACTAATCCCAATTAGGCACTCACTTCTAACGGCATGACGTGAAAAAGGAGCTAAGCAATCGAGCTGATAGCATAAGGTAACTGAAAACAAAATAAACTGTGACTAGAAAGAGGCAATGTTTTATAATGTTCATGGACAATATTTATAAAATAGACATAACACCACCAGATGTCGATAAACAGGAGGACTTCAATAAGCTGTTCTTTGCCGACGATTAGTGCATATTCCACCGTGAAAGTAAACAGCTGCAGAACCACATAAACCCACTACACGACAGTTGCCTAAAAGTTGCAAGAATTTAAATACTTGGGAAGCATCTTTACACACTATTGTAAAATAGATAAAGAGATAGAAACGAGAATCCAACAAGAAAACAATGTCACCTACAAGCTTGCTCAAGTTTTAAAACACCCTGCTCTCCCAGTAAAGACAAAAAGACAAATTATAAATACAGTATATATATATACCGACTTTAGGTTACCAGTGTCAAACTTGGACATTGAAAAAAAAGAACGCGAAAGAAAGCTAACCATCTGTTAGATTAGATGTTGAAGAATGGCTGTGAATAAAACCAGAAAAGATACCAGAAGAGATCGAAAGAGAAACGACGTGATCACAAGAACTGTTGGAACAACAAACATCGTCAAATTTATTGAGAAGCAAAGAATGAAATGGTTTGGCCATCTAATGAGAATAAAACCAACGAAGGCAGCAGCAGTAGTTTACAACCTGAAAATCAAAACATCAAGAGGCAGGGGAAGACCCAGAAGAGGATGGATTGAAGGAGTCACTGACACCTTGAGACTGCATAATATCACGGCATATCAAGCGACTGAGCGCGCCCTGGCTCGGCTACCGATCGTCTGATGAACTGCGACGCCTAGCGGCATAAGCAGAGATTGACAATAGAAGAAGGAGAAGAAGAAGATAAAGAAGAAGAAGAAGAAGAAGAAGAAGAAGAAGAAGAAGAAGAAGAAGAAGAAGAAGAAGAAGAAGAAGAAGAAGAAGAAGAAGAAGAAGAAAAAAGATGCACAGGAAGACCGAGAGAGAAAATGCAGAACATTTTGACATCATGTCAGGGAATATCATCTGTGCCAGTACAAAAGAAACAGGGTTATGGATAGACATGACTACCAACGCCACACAGCATGGGTTACATAAAGAGAAAGAACATTTTTTCCTCCTCTGATACAGTCTTTTCAACTGTCTTTTTTTAAAAGTATTTTCCGACCTTTACGTTGAGTTTTGTAGTCATAGTTTGTTTTATTTTTAATTAAATGTAATCTGCAGTCCATTTATAATTGTTTCGGTAAAAGCAAAAAGCAACTGTCAAATTTATAAGAACATCGTCATTGCTACAAACCACGACCTCATTCAGATTTTTAGAGAAGGATGTGCTTCAAACTATAAGTTGTGAAAAAACAAATGAATTTCCTCTGTTTTTCGTTTTCTTTACTTCTTGTTTGTTTAATTGACTTGCCTGTCGGTAGCTTCAATACTTTATCTTGCTCTCTATTTTAATGTTATATTGTTTTAAAATGTTTACATAATTTTTACTGTTACACTTTGATGTCGTTATTTCTGGGAGTGGGTAACCTAGGATCATGGTGTACGCCTCACGCATTGTGGTACATCGGATACTTAATAAATATCGAGGCTTTTAACCCCTCTTGAATACCAGTATTTTGTCACATTTTCTTACAGTTTACTCAACCTGAGCACACTAAAAAAAAACCTGGCCCTCAAAGTTGCCACTTTGGCTGTTTATAAACTGTTTCAGTAGCAGTCAGTACTTAATGTAACGCTTGCAATCATACGTTAAAAAGCACTTTAATTCCTCGCATTGCTAATATATAGTAAAACCCGGTTAATACCCAGCCTTGAGTGGGTACCAGATGCAGTCATGGGAAGTAAAGGCATTTGGCGTGATGCTGACCACATAACCAACCAAATGCCGAAAGATAGATCTAGCATTATATACCCAAAACGCCTGAAGACGTGGAAAAGGGTCCTTGAATTTACTTTCTATCTCGGCAATAGAAACGCATTAGTAATGTCTAAGTCACAGCGCCTACCTTCTAATACTAAATAAGCCCCAACCTCCCCACCACCAAAAAAATAAAAAATATCCTAGCATGGATATATTACCTGGCGACTACAGGCTCCTTTCCTTAACCGCTGTTGCCCCATTCGTTTATCACACAAACCTGTTCTTCAGCTGAGGAGGAAAAAAAAATGTATTGTTGCCAGACGCGCCGCCACATAGAAAACTTGTAGGGTTAGCCTCCTGTTAACTGGTTTCCTGGGGTGGGGTGGGGGGGGGGGGGGGGGGGGTAGCTCAAGCGTTTCTCAGTGCTTTGGAGCAATAATAGTAAAAATTATTATTATTAAATGATAGTAATAATAATAATAATAATTGTGCAGTTAAACCAGACTTGAGTCCTTTGAACTCCTTCTCGCCCCCCCCCCACTCCTAAAAGTATTATTCATGTATTAAAGGACCTAACTAAGCCTGTTTATCTGCGAAAAAAATAGTATTATATATATTAATGTTACTATTATTACGGAGTGAATGGCAAATAAAAAAAATTATATATTTTAAATAACATTAAATTTATGAACAAATGCTTAACAAGACAACGTCCCTGCATGGTTTGGGAAAGGGGGCAATAGAGACATACGTTCTTCGCTATAAATTATGTCGATTCTTAATTCAGCATATTATTGAGTGGGCTCATGCCACCCCCATCTCCCCTTCCCCACCCCACCGCAAAATACAATATTTAAAAAAAAATCGTTATGGGATAGGTTCCCTCAAGGTTCCTGAGCCCCATTGTTCCGGCCCCCATGCCGCCAGCGGACGTCTGTAATGGTAGGTGTATACCTTTACACGAAAACAACAGGAATATAATTATTTGCCTGTCATGCCTGCCCTTCTACTTTGTTTGTTGATTCAACTGTCGCAATGTCCTTCGTTTGAAAAACAAATATGACATTAACAAATGACTATATTTCTCTTTCGGGCTACCTGTAGTGTTGACATCCCTTGGACTCGAAGAGCCCCATCATTGATGTCAATCCACATCTCAGATACTTTTTCAACCTTCCAAGACCTCATAATTAAGGTTCAAGAGAAGGCTAAATCAAGTATTATTTTGCAACACCCTTTTAACTCAAAGGGAATAAGGATTTTTTTAAATATGTTTTATTGTTGGCAGAAGACATGTTGTTTGGACACATTGATTTCAGACATGAGGTTTTTTTGCCAAGCTCCCTAGTTATTTGCTTCGTTCTTTAGTATCATGTCTTATAACTAACTACCCAGCAGGCAACTGTGCATTCATACACGCAACTATAAATCACAAACTACACACATTCCCAGCTGTTGCATACATATGCTCTCTAGCAGGACCATATGACTTTCGTGGTAGGTGTTGACTTGTTGAATACGGGAGCATCTGGACAAAATGAATAGACAGTGTAGCAACTACCGCATCACTGCCAAATATGCAACGAAGTTGTCTAAAATATGTGTAAACGGCTGACGCACAACTACAGACACTGCTATCACTTATGTCCACGCTGGTTCTTGCACAGCTATAAATCACTGCAGTAAACATACCGACATAAGAAATAAATGTGCTAAAATCATTATGTAACAAATGGGCGCAGTGGCTTAGGCGTTGTGAACGCGCTTCCTAATGCCGGGGTACCGGGTTCGATCCCAGCTGCGGACGATTTGTCTTGCGTTAGTTTCGACAGTTGTACCGAGAGCTGACCATTCAAAAAGCAACGGCAAATTACTGAAAGTAAAATTTGTCTAGAAAAACCACAACAGCCAAAAACGCTAGGGTTGGTTCTGCAACGTTCTGTAAATGATATGCAACTAGCTAAAAAATGGGCTGAGGTAACCCACATTCTCTCTCATTAAGATGTAAAGTATTTGTGAATAGCAATCCTTTTTTGGTTAATAGCGAACATGTGGTGAAAGTCCTACGTTTTTATTGCCCCTACAATAATCGAAGATTTCCTGGTATCCATTTAATTTTGTGAGCTCACGTAAATTAAAAATTTGCCTCGACAGAGATTCCACAATGGTGGCTAGCGCAAGCCATTGCGCTTCGGCGTCTGCAGGTCGTTTCAATTGGTCCCTGAACTGCTATTTCTTAATTTTACAATTGCTTATATTTTAATCTGTTCATGGGCATTTACATTCCAGATTATGCAATAATAAAAGTTTAATTTCCCATTTTCTGAATGATGATTTTGTGTTTGAATTATATTATTGTTAAGTGTGCGTTATTTGTGGTATCATTAGCAATTCATAGTTTTTACTATTGACATCTGCCAATTGGTCCAGGGCCCCATTTTGGGAGTGGTTGGACGGACCTATTGCATTTTAACAAGCGTGATGTATAAGGCGACAAATTAAGGGGTTTGGTGAAATCGAATGTTCCTTCCAAATAAACAGATATCTAAGCGCAACCGTAGCATACAACAACGCACTAACGGTCCGTTTAAAGACATGAAGAAGAAGAAGAGAAGAAGAAGAAGAAGAAGAAGAAGAAGAAGAAGAAGAAGACAAAGAAGAAGAAGAAGAAAAAG